CTATAGTCAGAATTAAAAATAAAATCTGAATTATTTTCGATATACAAAAAATTAAAAAAAAAAAGTTGAAACAAATTTTTTTTTTCCAAAATTAATTATTTTATTAAGACAAGCAGAAAGTTCTTGGAATCATTTAAATCAGACGCTTAGTTCTCTCAAAAACTGCTATTTTTTACATATTTATCTCCGTATCTTCGAAATGGCTGGGCCTGCCTTTGCCAGAAACTAATAAACACTTCTCTCAATCATTACTAATTGAATGTTTTTTAGATCATTCAAATCGAATACTCCATTCTCTCAAAAAGTCGATTTCTATTTTCTGCACTCTTTGCTCCGTATCTCCGAAACGGCAGGACCTGCCTTTGCCAAAAACTAATCAGCTCTTTTCCCTATCGATAGGATTCCAATGTTTTTTGAACCATTCAAATCGGTTGATCCGTGCGGCCGAAAACGTGACTGGAAATTTGTATCCATACATACACACACACACACACACACACATCCATTTTTTCTGAAGTATGCCAAAATGTTTCGAAACCTTCAAAACGTCGAGAAATGTAAAAATTTTCAATTCCGATTTTCGGCCCATTACAATAACTTAACCTACGCGAAGTTAATAAATATAAAAAAATAAACAATATTAACTGAACATGTTTTGTTTTTAATTTTAAAACTGAAAATTTGTGTGATGTAGTTATGAGCAAATAGAAACCAACGAAAAGTCACGTGACACACAAAAAGTTGGAGAAGGATTTCAAGGGTAGTTAAACAGTGGGGACACAATTTTGAAAAATAAAACATATCGAATTGAAACATCTGTTTGCTCGTCAGTAGAGTCCTTTTACCTACTACAAAGTGTTATATTAGAAAATTTCTTATGATAATCGATATCATTTATTATTTGACAGTATAGTCCTTTTGTTCATCACAAAGTATAATTAGTTTTAATTTGCCGGATTTTAAATTCATATGTGCTATTTATCAAAATTATTCTTTTTTTCTCACGTCGAAATATTGTCTTGTATTTTGCTCGTCAGTAGAAATATATTTTAATCTTGTGCTATTTAATTTAATTTGCTGGTCAGTAGAGATGTACCCTGTCGTTATTTTAAATAACTTCTATTTTATGTAAGTACGTCACTGGTGAAAATCGTTGATCTAATTTCGATATGGGGTCAATAGTAGTTTTAGCTGGAGCAACAGTTAATGCATCGACTGCAATGTATATATAATATATAACTTTATCTAAAATTAACTCTTTTATATAAACTGTAGTAGACTCGTATATAGTAGTAATTAAAAGAAAAAATTGCGTAAATTAACTTCCGTTGTTTGGATAACATTTTAGGATTTAGGTTTTATGGATACACGTGGAAAATTAAAGAATAGATTAAAGGATTCGAAGTTAAAACAGTAACTTAATTCAAATAATATATATATATATATATATATATATATATATATATATATATATATATATATATATATATATATTACAATTGTATTTTCTGTCGTTCCTCCGTTTATTGGCAAATGGCAAAAGTGACCTTTCCACGAAATTATATGTCCGTTTATTCGGCCAGCAAAATGGCCTTTGTCCGAGGTCTTGGAAATTATATAATTATTTTTTACGACGGGACATGCCGAATGTTTGTTCCAGTCGGTCACAAAATACTTTTCATTATTCGAAATAATGAACGAACGACGTTGTTTTGTTAACGATTTCCGTTCATCTGTATAAAAAAGATTACAAGTCTCATGTCTAAAGGAAAATCAGTTCTATGGAAGCGACTTGTGCGCCTCTTGTAACTAAGAGAACTAATTAATATGTGTGAAGATAACGATCATTTTCCTCAAAACATTTTAATATAACAAATAATGTCAGATTTTTTTTAAAAAATGTATTAGTCATTTAAAAAAAAAGTTTATTTTTTTATTATTTTTTTTGTACAAACTTAGAACTACTGTGCTTTACCCTGTTGTAGTGTTTTCCGCATTCAACAGATTGTGTACTGCGCTCAAATTTTAGGTATTTCTGAAGAACTTTTTTTCTTTCATATTTTTTATTAATTAATATTAAAACATATGTGATTTAGTTGAAAAAATATTTCATACGTGCCAATTTTATTCTTATTTCATTTATTCAAATTAATCAGGTTTATCTTTTCTATATTATATATATATATATATATATATATATATATATATTCTAAAAGAGCGAAGATAACAATCATTTTTCTCAATGACAATATAGAAATGTATTCTTTACATTTTTTACTTATAAATATTAAATACTTTATAATATTGAATTTATATTAACCTTTCAGTTTCAACACGGTTGTATGCCGATTTTTATATAAATTTTTGACAAACTTTTTTTTTTAAATTTATTTATATTTTTCGTTGTATTCAATTACAGTTTGCCCACTACATTTTTGAAATTCTAAAATGCATAATGGCCGAAATTAATCATCTATTCAAAATCAGTACAAAATTGCATAATTTTTCTTTCATTAAATAATTAACGTATCAATTAAGTTTGACCTCTTAGAGGTTACTGTAATTAGATAATGTTTATTTATTCAATTAAGAGATTATAAAGAAATTCATTTCGAGTTAATCTAATCATTATTATTATTTATGGATTTTGTTAATTTTGTTAATATGACTTTGACTGGATTTGTAAATTAGTTTCTTGCAATCTTTATAAAGGGTGAAGGGTTAGAGTTTTTTTTTTCGAAAAAGATGAGTTTTGATTTGGTCGTCAGTAGAGTCCTCTTTCTTGTCCTACGTCAAATTGCACTTTGCTTGTCAGTAGAGTCCCTTTTCTATTTCGAACAATACTAGTTGTAGATTGGTCGTCAGTAGAGCCCAACCTTCCTGTTGAAGAAAATCCCGTTTAAATCACTTAAATGTTTAAAATAAATTCGTTTTTTATTGAACTCTTCGTTTTACGCTACATTTCGATTTGCTCCTCAGTAGAGTCTCTTTTTTCTTTCGGAAAAGTCATGTTTTAGTTTGATCGTTGGTACAGTCCCTTTTTTATTCCAAACAAGTCTAGTTGTAGTTTGCTCGTCAGTAAAGTCCCTTTTCTCTTTCGAACAAGTCTAATTTCATTTTACGTCAAATTTCACTTTGATTGTCAGTAGAGCCCTTTTCTTTCGAACAAGTCGTGATTTAGTTTGTTTGTCTGTAGAGTTCTTTTGTTTTTCCATAATTCGAGATTCAATTTGCTTTTATTTAGAGCATTTTGAGATTTAGTTTGCTCGTCTGTAGAGTTTTTTCTTACTTTCGAAAAAGTCTAGTTTTTTGTTTGATCGTCAGTAGAGTTCTTTTCTTATTTGGAATAAGTCTAGTTGTAGTTCGCTCTTCAGTAGAGTTTCTTCTTTCATCTACAATTTGAATTTCAATATCCTCGTCAGTAGAGTCCTTTTTATTTCGAACAAGTCTTGTTATAGTTTGCTCCTCAGTAGAGTCCCTTTTTTATTTAGAATAAGTCAAGATGCAATTTGTTCGCCAGTAGAGTGTTTTCTTATTCTTGAACAAGACGAGATTTAGTTCGAGACAGTAGAGTCCCTTCTTTCTTCCATTATTCGTGTTTCAATTTGCTCGTCAGTGAAGTTCCTTCTATCTTCTACAATTCGAGTTTCAATTTGCTCTTTAGTAAAGTTTCTTCTTTCTTTCGAATAAGTTTATAATTTCCTCATCAGTAGAGTCCTTTCTATCCTTCACAAATCGAGTTTCAATTTGCTCGTCAGTAGAGTCCGTTTTTACCTTCAGAAGCCGAAATTTATGAGCCAAATCTGCCGTAACATAGACGATTTTTTTTAATTACAATATTTGTTACAACTACTAAATAATTTAACAAAATTTCTGAATAATAAAAATAATACTAGAAAAACAATAAAGTGGAATAAAAACAATAAGTGACGGATAATAATAAATATAACAAAATATTTATATATAACACAATATTAGAAATAATAATATGTGACCATATCTATCCATTTGCTGTGCGATCAGGCGTATTTAACATATAAACAAAGCAAGGAAGAATGCTAAGATTACAACATAGTCGTAATGCCGCATCTAAAATATACGTTTTTATGTGTAAAACGCCTGATCGCACAGCAATTAGATAGACATTTTTACAGTTTTCACTACCAAGAAACAAGCATAAAATAGTGTTGCCATAAAAATGCTGTCTTATCGTCTATGTTACGGCAGAATTGGCCCATTAGGCCCATTAGTCCTTTTTAATTTCGAAAAAGTCTAGTTTTAGTTTGCTCGTCAGTAGAGTCCTCTTTTCGTCGTACGTCAAATATGTTTTTGCTCGTCAGTAGTGAGGCATCTGGTAGGAAGTGAATGTACACACACACATATATATATATATATATATATATATATATATATATATATATATATATCTGAATTTATTCAGCTACTAGTTTAGTTTAGAGGCCACAAAACGCCATTAAACATTCGTTTATAATATAAATCTTAATTGAAAGATTAAGTTGCTTTAAGAAGAAGCAAATGCTTATATCCTTGACGTTCAAATTGACGTAAACAATATAATTTTATGGTTTAAACATTATATATATATATATATATATATATATATATATATATATACATACATAATTATTATGTTTACATGAAACGAATTAGGTCGTTGTAACATATGCAAAAACTTATTCTGAACTTAATTAGTTTAACAAGTATTTATTTTAGAAGGAGTAAGATAGAAAATTATTGAGAAGCTTAAAAAATTTTGATTTTTTTCATTTTTAGCCAAAAATTAATAGGTGACCACGACGTTATAATTATAGAAAAATCGAATAGAAAAGTCGAATTCAAATTATAAATTGAAAATAGATTTTTTTTTATTTATTACAAATTTAACTTTGGAAATTTGTTACTAATGTATGTAAAGTATGTAATGAACATTTTGATTATTAAAATGACACAGTATTACATAAAAAATCTATTCTTTACAGATGCAGTCGATTTTACATCACAATTCCAGCGGAGTTAAGGCCTTTAGTGGAAATTTAAAGACAAGGGAAGTCCACAAGGCGATATCCTTGCACCCTGTAAAGAAACCGCCCCTGATGTATAGGCTGCATGCTTACATCCTCGTGAGTAGAAGATAACAGAATTATATATATATATATATATATATATATATACGAGGTCTGTTCAAAAAGTACCCGGAATTTTCGTTTTTTCAAAAAAATATCTATTTATTCGTCTACATTAATGTGGTCCCCTTCAAAGTAGTCCCCCCCAGATATAATACACTTATGCCAGCGTTTTTTCCAATTTTCGAAGCACCCTTGATATTCACTTTTTGATATGTCCTTGAGCACTCTCGGCGATTTTCTTCAATCGAGGAAAACCGCCGTCCTTTCATGGGTCTCTTCAACTTTGGGAATAGGAAAAAGTCACACGGAGCCATATCTGGTGAATTTTTGCACTTTGCAACACTTTATTTCATTTTTTACGCAAAATTTAATACAAATTCTTTGACTTTTCAATTCTTCTATTGTAAAAATCGCCGAGCTCAGAAAAACACGTCGAACCTTAGCGACTACCACAGACAAAGTAAACAGTGAATATAGCTGAAAATTTCATCATACTTTAGGGGCATGTATACCAACACAATAAAAAAAAAATTTTGACAGTCAGACACTCCAGACCCGCGAAATTTAATTATTAGTAATTCCGGGTACTTTTTGAACACACCTCGTATATATATATATATATCTTTTATATAAAAATGGTTTTCTTGATGAAATGATTCGCTAAAACTCGAAAACGGCTAAACCGATTTGGCCAGTCTTAGTCTTGAAAAATTCGTGCCAATCCAGAGATTGTCCAAAAGTTGAAAAATTATTTCAAAATCGCGTAGAAACTTAACATTTTTAATTTGAACATTTTTGTAGAAACGTAATTTAAACAAAACAATGGACGGTGGCTAATACGTCAAATGTCAAACGTTTTTGACCGATGATGTTCAATTACGTTTAATAGGATGTTGTATATGAATATTATTTAATTATGATTAAATTGCGGTATGTAGTTTTGTTTGTAGTTTTATTTATACACAAAAACGTTATTAAACGGATAGCAAGTGTTACTGGAAACTCAAAATATCAACTTTTTTGAAATGTTAATATGAAAATACACTTTTTGGCGTTGTAGCACTACTTTTTTGCAAATTATATTTTCTCAAACACTCACTGGTATTTATAAAACATTTTCTAGGTTATATTATTTTTTATTTGTTATTTAAATTCAGAACCTAAATTTGGTATCGATCAAAGAGACATTTTGCCGAATAACATTTTCCCAGTTATAATTTCCTAGAATTTATCGAAGAATAGATAGTAATATATGAAGGTCCGGGGTTAAAAAGGTCCACCACCGATGTGTCAAAAACCAGTAAAGTTAACAACAATATTTGAAAGTAGAGGGAAAAAGATGTATAACCAGCTATAACCTTGATTCTTATGACTTTGCTATCGGGAGATAAACGGTAATCTTTGAAAATCCATAATAAAAGTATTTTCTGCCGTTGGTAGTTTTAGCATTAGTTAAAAATGTAATAATTTTGAAAAATACCTTTAAAATTATAATAAGGCTTTAAAACCTGTTTGCTACCTGGCCGTTACAAGTTACTCCGCCTATAGGGTAAAAAAGTCTAGATAACAAATTTTTGAAAGACATAAAAAAGCACATTTTTAAAATGATGAAGTATCTGACAGTTTTACTGAACGTAGTCAGATAATTGTTCGTTTGAAATGTGTCGTTTTTTGTGATATAATTGTTATGGTGTTCACAAAAACGTTTGACATCTGACGTATAAGCCACCGTCCATTGTTTTATTCAAATTACGCTTCTACAAAAAATTTCAAATTAAAAATGTAAAGTTTCTACGCGATTTTGAAATAACATCTCACCTTTCCGACAACCTACTAATTCACACAAATTTTACCAGACTAAGACTGGCCAAATCGGTTCAGCCGTTTTCGAGTTATAGCGGATCATTTTATCGACCTCCATTTTTATATATAAGAAGATATAAATATATATTTATATATATATATATATATTGTTTTTATAGAGTCTGGACATTCAGCACGAGCAACAAAAAAGAATCGATCTGCACAGGGACCTTGCAAAAATGTCCTTGTCTGTTCAGAGTTACCGAGATAAACAGCAGACACATCCTGAATGGAACGTTTTAGGTAAAAATTATAATAGTAATAATAATAATAATAATAATAATAAATAGAATTATCCGAAAGCTTGTTGAAGTAGAACTTCTTTGGGCCCGACTTCTGATTTTGCATTGGCCGATGACGTGATTTGTATATAGTTGAAGCCAAAAACTAATGGTTGTTCAATGTAGAAATAAGAATTTAAAGCATAAGTAATAAAATTTATTTAAATAATAATTGCAGACAGAAATATGAAATAATACATAGTGATATGTAAGTGCCAAAAATTGAATATTTTTGAAATATTCGCAAAAAAATCATGTTCATTGCAAATACAACAATGTGTATTCATATATATTTAACCAACTACACCATTTATAAAAATATCAACAAAAAAAGTAAATAAAATTTATTCGGTGGATTTTAATAAAAGCGTGACTGGGCATGCTAGTGTATATATATATATATATATATATATATATATATATATATATATATATACTAGCAAACCCAACGAATTACGTTTCGCCACCAGATGGTTTCGTGAGAAAGATGAAGAAATTTTTTATTTGTTTTAAATTTGAAAAGGAAAATTTTGATTTTATTATACAACAGTAATGAATTTATTTCGATTACAAAAATGAAGTGTTTTATAGTTGAACTTCTCTAGGTAAATGAAAGTGAATCCGCAAATTATCCGTTTCATTGAAATGCTCTTTGGTAAACCACATTTTTTGTTTTTTGGTCTGACGTTAACACAAATAAAGCGGGTGGTTTTCCAACTCGTGAACAGGCAACGTATAACTGCCCATGTGAAAAACAATGATTTTCTAAATAATCTATTTGAAATTTATCCCGCAAACACTAAGCGATTGGCCTGGCGACTTGTTATTGCGAACGCAAGGCGAACTGCAAATTGCAATCGTTTGAAGTCAAACGGAAGACCAGTCGGAATCATTGGTATGTCACCAAATCGCCAGCAATTTTTGATTGAATGGTGAAATTCAGTGCGTGTACATCATATTTCTTGGCGGCAAGAATTGCTCGTTGACTTATTTGCAAGCATAATTCTGATAATTCTCACTAATGTCATTACTCGAATTTTTAATTACGGTGCGTGAAGTTCCAGCAATTTGCACTAAGGCACGATGCCATGCACCAATTTTCTTAGCTATTAACCTTGTATATATATATATATATATATATATTTATTTATTTTTCCATCTTAGGTGCGGAATCAAGCTTGAACCGATACTACCCGAGACGAGTCGAAGACGTCATCAGCTGGGAATTCATGTCAAAATCCTTGTTTTCCCATACACATTCGAATCCTAAACGCAGAATGGAGGCCAATATTCGAGAAGGACTCAACGACGTTGTCCGAGAGGTAAGAAAACCAAAACATAATAATTTAATTCATTAATCGATTTAAAACAATTAAATTCAAGTTCTGTTTCCCCTTTCCTTAGGTGATGGAGAACATAAACACTTACTCGAGACAGCGCGGCAGGATAATTGAATTTCGCGAACTTTTATACGGCTACCAGAGACTGGATCCTCTTCATGGACATGACATGATTTTAGATTTATTGCTCGTATATAAAAAGTATCGAGGGAAAAAGATGACGGTGCCTGTCAGGAGACATGCTTATATACAGAGGACATTTGCAGGTAATGATAAAAGACACGATGAGAATTCTTTTTTTTTTTAATTTAATATGGAATTTACATTTAAAACATTGATGGTGAAATTTTAAAATATACTTAATGAAGGAAAAGTTTGTTTTTGTCAGAACGTCTGTATTGGTATTCGAAGAAATAAGTAAAATCCTTTGACATAATATTTTTTAGATCATCTAGATTTTTTTAGATGATCTAAACAAAATCTAGGTTTGCTTTAAATTACGTTAGATTTTGTTTCTAGATTTTAGAGAACGCTAGATTTTTAGGATCTTAAGTTATCTTTAGAAAACTTGGATTTTCATCAGGGGACCTTAAATACGATCGTATCTGTTACAAAATTTTAAATTTTTGTAAGTAAACCTTGAAACTTCTTCTTGTGAGGGCATTGGATTTATTCAAAGAGCTTTGAAATTTTGTTAGAGGATTCCAAGTTTTTATCAGAAAACCTCGAATTTTTGTTAAGAAATCTTGTATTTTTATGAGAGCCCTATTTTTTTTAGAGAACCCCATATTTTTATCAGCAAACCTCAAATTTTTGTTAAGAAATCTTGTATTTTTATGAGAGCCCTCGATTTTTTTTTAGATAACCCCAATTTTTTATTTAAAAATCTTGAATTTTTGTTAAGAATTTTTCTATTTTTATAAGAGCTCTGGATTTTTGTTAGAGGACCCCAAATTTTTATTAGAAAACTTTGAGTTTTTGTCAAGAGTCAAGTTTTATAATAAGTCTTTTGTAGTAAGTCTTTAAGTTTTACAACAGAACTTTAAAATTCTTTAATAACTGTTCGAGGACCTTAGATTTATTCAGATACCCCTAGATTTTTGTATAGAGCACCCCATATTTTAATTAGAAAAACTCGATTTTTTCTTAATAAATCCTGTATTTTTGTATTTATTCAGAGAGCCCTAGATTTTTGCTAAAGAACCTCAAATTTTTATTTAAAAAACCTCGAATTTTTGTTGAAAAATCTTCGATTTTTGTAAGAGAACCTGGAAATTTCTGTAGGAAGCATTTAAAACTTTTCGAGGACTTTGGATTTTTATTAGAAGACTTCAAAATTTCATTAGGAACCTTCGGATTTTTTATTAAGAATTCTTGGAATTTTATAAAAGCCCTGAATTTTTTGAAAGAGGGCACTTTATTTTTATTAAGAAAACTCGAATTTTTGTTAAGAAATCTTGGATTTTTATAAAAGCCCTGGATTTTTGTTAGAGGAAACTATATTTTTATTAAGAAAACTCGAATTTTTGTTTAGAAATCTTGGATTTTTATAAGAGCCCTGGATTTTTATTAGAAAATCACGATTTTTTTAGAGAATTCTTGAATTTTTATAAAAGGACCTTTAAGTCCTTTAAGGTCCTTGAAGTCCTGAAATTTCTGTAGAAAACCTTTAAAACTTTTCGAGGACTTTGGATTTATTCAGAGATCCCTAGATTTTTAATAGAAACCTCGATTTTTTATTAAGAAATTCTAGATTTTTATTTAAAAAAAAACTTGAAATTTGGTTAAAAAACTTAAAATATTTTGAGGACCTTGGATTTATTCAGATAACCCCAGATTTTTGTATGGAGCACGCCTTATTTTTAATAGAAAACCTCGATATTTTCTTAAGAAATCCTGTATTTTTATTTAAAAATATCTTGAAATTTTGTTAGAAAACTTAAAATTTTTTGAGCACCTTGTATTTATTCAGAGGCCCCTGGATTTTTGTATAGAGAACCTTATATTTTTATTAGAAAATCTTGACATTTTGTTAAAAAATCATGAATTCTTATAACCATACCTTGAAATTTCTTTGGAAAACTTTTAAAACTTTTCGCGGTCATCTTTGATTTATTCAGAGATCCCTGGATTTTTATTAGAAGTTCCTATTTTCTTTTTACCAAAATCGTAGTTTTTTTTATTAAATCTTTGAATTTTATAACAGCCTTGGATTTCAAGAGAACCCCATATATTTTTATTAGAAAACCTCGAGGTTTTGTCAAAAAATCTTGGAGTTTTATAAGAAGACTTCGAAATTTCTTTAAAAAGCTTTAAAACTTGTTGAGGGCCTTGGATTTTTATTAGAAGACCCCAAATTTTTGTTAGGAACCCTCGAATTTTTGTTAAAAAATTTTGGTTCGACATGCAGTTTTATAAGAACCCTAAATTATTGTTAGATGACCTCATATCTTTATTCAGAAACCTCGAAGTTTTGTTAAAAAATCTTGGATTTTTATAAGAACCCTGGATTTTTGTTACAGGACCTCGAATTTTTGTTAAGAAATTTTGAATTTCCATAAAAATAACTGTAAATTTTTGTAGAAAACCTTTGAATTTTTTTAGGTCTTTGTATTTATTCAGAGAGATCTGGATATTTGCTAAAGGACTCCGAATTTTTATTCAAAAACCTCTAATTTTCATAGGCAAGCATTGAATTTTTATAAGAGGATTTTTATAAATTGCTTTAGAGAACTTTTCGAGGTTTTTGGATTTAATAAGAAATTTTTGCTATAAAATCTTGGTTTTTTATAAGAGCCCTGGATTTTTGTTAGGGGATCCCATATTTTTATTAGAAAACCCCTAATTTTGGTTAGGAAATTTTAGATTTCCGTTACAAGGACTTGGATTTCTGTACTCCTAGAAAAATATTAGGTTGTCAAATATCTCCCTTCCGCTTTTTTGCTCTTGGTTTATAATACAAAAAGGCGGAAGGGAGATATTTGACAACCTTATATATATATATATATTTTTAAGTTGATTTTTCACATATATCAGAAAGTCTATGCAACTCGTCTTAAGGCAAAATGCCAATTACAAAGGCTCGAAACGTAGATCAATCGTATTTGCCGTGCGATCAGGCGTATTTCAAATTTAAACAAGCAAGGAAGAATCTTACGATAACTACATCATCCAAGATCCTGTTATCATATCATTCTTCTTCAATAAATAGATAGATAGATGACAACAGCAGAATTGCCCCATAAGTAGTTCATTGTTACTATTTTTAAGTAGATTTATACTTTTTATAGCATTTTTTCCCAATTTTATTAAGTGATTGAACCTGTAAAGTTGTTCTACTTATTTAATTATATAAAAAATTGTTAATAACTTTTTCAGAATTGGAAATCCGAGAAACCTACACGGACAGCATAAAATTGAACTCTTACATCGACTTCCCCATGATGACTGGAGAGTACGAAATGGAATCTTTCTACAATTCAGGAAACCTGGCAATAACATCATCCCAGAACAATTTATCATCAGAACTGCCAAATCGTGATGTGGTCAGCTCCAAAGTCTATTCATCATTCGAAGACGAAACAATACACTTCATCCTGCCCTTGAGTGGAAGGTTTGATACATTTCAAAGGTTCATGAGTGTTTACGAGGATGTATGTTTGAAGAACAAAGCCAACGTGGCTTTGTATGTGAGTTTGTTTAAGAACAAAGATTTCAATGAAGACTTCGATAAGTCGATTGACTTGGTCCAAAAGTATTTAGTGAAGTACAGAAGTGCTAAAATTCAAGTGATACCAGTTGTCGATATTGAATTTGCTCGAGCTTATGCTCTGCAGTTGGGAGTCGATAAATGTGTAAATGATTGTTTGTTGTTGTTTATAGATGTAGATATGATTTTTAACACACGTGCCTTGTGGAACGTTAGGATGAACACTATAAAAAACAAACAGTACTATTTCCCCATAGTTTTCAGTGAATACAACCCTCTAATCGTCTACGATCCCGATTACGCAACCGAGAACTCCCAAACGATTCCAAAAGACTACTTTTGCGTCACCGAACAAGCTGGATATTTCAGACAATTCGGTTACGGTATAGTAAGTCTATACAAAAGTGATTTACTTACCATAAGTGGCCTAAATTCCAACATTAAAGGTTGGGGTTTAGAGGACGTTCAGATGTTCGACAAGTGTGTTTCCTCGAATTTGAGCATCTTTCGAAGTGCCGATTCGAATTTCGTGCATGCCTATCATACTGTTCTATGTGATAATAGTTTAGATTTAGTGCAGTATAAAATGTGCCAGGGTACCAAAAGTAATACTTATGCGAATTATGAACAATTAGTCATGTATATTAGGAGGCATCCCAATGTTATTAAGTTTGATCATAATAAATCGGATAGTTGATCCCGATGTAAAGATTGTGATGTGTTTTAATATGTAGAAATTAGCAACCCGATAGCAATCCTTTACTCATTCATTGTTTTACATTAAATTAGAAACTAGTGGTGTATGGCATTGTGCCTTAAGGCAAATTGCTGGAACTTTCCGTACCAAATATTATTATTTTTTTAAAAACGATTAACATTTTTGAAAAAAATTACTTCGAAAAAATTAGATTTTTGAGAAACTATAAATTCGACAAAAAATTACTTCGTTTTGAAAAAAGATTTCTTTATTTTGACATATTAGGTTGTCAAATATCTCCCTTCCGCTTTTTTGCTCTTGGTTTATAATACAAAAAGGCGGAAGGGAGATATTTGACAACCTTATATTTTGAAGTGTAGAAAAGACCATAATAAAGAAAAAAAATCCTGAAAACTAGTCGTGTATGGCATCGTGCCTTAAGGCAAATTGCTGGAACTTCCCGTACCGTAATGAAATATTCGAGGTATATTAAATGTTTTCGAATAGATTATTATAAATTCTGTAACATTGTCTAATATTTTTAAGAATTGAACTGAACTCAACTGAATTGCAAAGTTCGAATTATTTATTTGAATGTAGTTACCGATAATTAAGTTTTTATATTTTCAGTCATTTTTTATTTGCTCGTCAGTAGAGTTTCTTTTAAATTTTTATTATAAGTTTGCTCGTCAGTAGAGTCCCTTTTCAATATTTTTCCATTAGTTTATGTTTTTTTATTTTTTCTTTAATTTGCTCGTCAGTAGAGTTGCTTTTAAATTTTTTCTTTAATTTGCTCGTCAGTAGAGTCCCTTTTCATTATTTTTTCATTAGTTTGCTTGTCAGTAGAGTCTCTTTTTAATTTCTTTCATTAGTTTGCTCGTCAGTAGTCTCTTTATTTTTTCAATAATTTGCTCATCAAAAGAGTCCCTTTTCATTTTTACTATTAGTTTGCTCGTCGGTAGAGTCTCTTTTGTAATTTTTTCTTTAATTTGCTCGTCAGTAGGGTCTCTTATGTTTACTATAAATTTGCTCGTCAGTAGAGTCCCTTTTCATTATTTTTTTATTAGGTTGCTCGTCAGTAGAGTCCCTTTTCAATATTTTTTCATTAGTTTGATTATCGTTTTTTAATTTTTTCTTTAATTTGCTCGTCAGTAGAGTTTCTTATTTTTATTATTAGTTTGCTCGTCAGTAGAGTCCCTTTTTTATTATAAGTTTGCTCGTCAGTAGAGTCTCTTATTTTTATTATTAATTTGCTCATCAGTAGAGTCCTTTTTTACTCTTTTGTCTAGTTTGCTTAATTTCTTTGTATTTTATGTTCATCAGTAAGAAGTATCTTAATTTTTTTTTATAAGTTCACTTGTCAGTAGAGTCCCTTTTTTATTTTAATTATCAATTTGCTCGTCAGTAGACTTTTTTTATTTTTTTCATAGTTGTATCATCAATAGAGTTTTTTTTTCATTTTGTATCTTAGGCTTTAGTAGAGCTTCTTTTTTATTTTAATTTTTCGTTTGCTTGTTAGTAGATTCCCTTATGTAATTTTTTCATTAATTTGCTCATCACTAGAGTCTTTATTAATTATTATATTAATTTGCTCGTCAGTAGAGTCCTTTTTTTACTCTTTTGTCTAGTTTGCTTAATTTCTTTGTATTTTGTGTTCATCAGTAAGTAGTATTTTAAATTTTTTATAAGTTTACTTGTCAGTACAGTCCCTTTTTATTGTAATCATCAATTTGCTCGTCAGTAGATTTTTTTAACTTCCCGTAGGGCAAGTTATAATAATCGCAAAAAAAACAAAAATGAAAATTTTTATATATCTTTACGTTTCAGAGATTTCTGAACATTTTGGCATACCTTAGAAAAAATGGATGTATGTGTGTGTGTGTGTGTATGTATGTATGTATGTATGTATGTACGTGTGTGTATGTATGTGCGGATACAAATTTTCGTCGACGATTTCGGGAACACGGATCAACCGATTTAAATAATTCAAAAAACATTTGATTCGTATTGATAAGGAGACGTGCTGATTAGTTTTTGGCGAAGGCAGGTCTAGCCGTTCCGAAGATACGGGGCAAAAAGTGCCGAAAACGGTAACTCAGTTTTTAAGAGAACGGAGCGTCCGATTTGAATAATTTAAAAAACATTTCACTTGTATTGATAAGATGAAGAATCGATGAAATTTTCATGAAGGTAGGTCTAGCGGTTTCGGAGATATGGAGGAAAAAGTAAAAAAATGAGCCATTTGGCGGTCAAAAATGATCATTAGACATATGCACATCAAATTATCAGATATTTTATAGAGATTTTAACAATAAGTAACATTTTGTTAACATTTCTATGGGTTCCGTACCAATGCTTATGCGTTAGACAGCGACGCGGCGCTTACGCGCTTTATATTTTGTCCCTATGCAGTTAAAGCAGTACGATTGCTTTGAAAAAAAGTTCAGATCTTCCACAATATGTCAAAATAAAGAAAAAAAAAATTTTTTCAAAAAAAAAAAATTAAAAAAAAAAATTAAATTGTTTTTTCAAAAAAAAGTAATTTTTTGTCCAATTTATAGTTTCTCAAAAATCTTATTTTTTCAAAGTAATTTTTTTTTCAAAAATGTTAATCGTTTTTAAAAAATAGTAATTTTTGGTACGGGAAGTTCCAGCAATTTGCCTTAAGGCACGATGCCTTAATTGCCTTAAGACAGAATTCCACTCCTCTTTTTCATTTTATATATTAGGCGTTAGTAGAGCTCCTTTTTCATTAAATAATTTTAATTTTGCATTTCAGTTTATATAGTTTTTATAAATATTAAAGAATGTTCTTCATATTAAATCTAATTGATCAAGCTTTGTTTATTCACTTTTCATGTAAACATACGAGGTGTGTTCAAAAAGTACCCGGAATTACTAATAATTAAATTTCGCGGGTCTGGAGTGTCTGATTGTCAAAATTTTTTTTTTATTGTGTTGGTATACATGCCCCTAAAGTATGATGAAATTTTCAGCTATATTCACTGTTTACTTTGTCTGTGGTAGTCGCTAAGGTTCGACGTGTTTTTCTGAGCTCGGCGATTTTTACAATGGAAGAATTGAAAAAGTCAAAGAATTTGTATTAAATTTTGCGTAAAAAATGAAATAAAGTGTTGCAAAGTGCAAAAATTCACCAGATATGGCTCCGTGTGACTTTTTCCTATTCCCAAAGTTGAAGAGACCCATGAAAGGACGGCGGTTTTCCTCGATTGAAGAAATAAAGGCCGAATCGCCGAGAGTGCTCAAGGACATATCAAAAAGTGAATATCAAGGGTGCTTCGAAAATTGGAAAAAACGCTGGCATAAGTGTATTATATCTGGGGGGGACTACTTTGAAGGGGACCACATTAATGAAGACGAATAAATAAATATTTTTTTTGAAAAAACGAAAATTCCGGGTACTTTTTGAACAGACCTCGTATATAAACGTCGTCGTCCTATTTATAAGCTTTTATATTTTGTTTATAAAATATGGATAATTAAAGTTACAATTAAATTTAATAATCTATTTAAAAACATAATATTAATGGTACGAGAAGTTTCATCAATTTGCCTTAAGACACAATGCCATACACACCACTAGTTCAAGGTTTTATTTTTAACTATCAATTCCATCATACAGTCAAAGTAACCTTAGAGGAACCTATTTCTTACAATATTTATTTATATATATATATATATATATATATTTAATTAACCATCCCTTCCCTCAACTAAAAAACAAAACACATTTCATGTATTTATTAAAAACAGTTTTACACAACGAGATTCATATAAAACATTTCATCATATAAAAATATATCCAGTCTTCTCAGAAGCACAATACTTCCATTGTATGGAATGCATATCTTTTTTGATTATTGTTTAAGATGAATGTTTTTTGACATAGCTTAAAGCTTCTTCGACATCATTTTTGGAACCAAGGAAGATAGGACATCTCTGGTGAATCGACTCGGGTTGTACATCAAGAATCGGCTGTTTGCCAGAACTTGCGAGACCTCCGGCTTGGGTCAGGATGAACGCCATGGGTATGCACTCGTACAACAGACGTAACTAGAATATAAATATATATATATAATATATATATATATATATATGTATATATATATCCTGCCTTGCGATGCATGCAAAAAATGTTTTAAAATACGTTAAAAATTTAACTTTAAAACAACAAATGATACTCTGAATATGACGCAAGGATAAATACAATTCGGCTCTTACGATATCAATTAGGAGATAAAATGATGAAAAATTATATTAAATTAAAATTTCCAAAAACCAACATGGCATAATTTGCTCAATAGAATAAATCGTATAATAAATAAGTAGAATGTTTTAAAACCCAAATATTAATATTGCTAAAAATAATTGAAATTTTAAAAATATTTGATTATAATCAATCCGCGAATCGCCTCGATTTTCTAAATAAATTTAAAATCAATATATTTTATACCCTTCTAATTTATATCTATTTTTTGTGTACTAAATCCAGAATAATTAAAAATTAATTTTTAAAAAATATGTAAATATTTATAATAGGTTGTCAAATATCTCCCTTCCGCTTTTTTGCTATTGGTTTATAATACAAAAAGGCGGAAGGGGATATTTGACAACCTAATATAATTTTAATGATAAACTGTTTAAACGGTGAAAATGAAAATTAATAGGGGGGCGGGGCGCTAGAAAAAAGTTGCATGCGGGCGCTAAGGACCCCAGGACCGGCCCTGTATATATATATAAAGTATTGATTGAATAATTGTATGTTATTTATTTGAAATTACCTTCCCTTAGGTGATGCAGATGTTGCAGGATATATAAATATACCTCCGTACTTTATGGTCCTGTGAACATCAGCAACCATGGATCCAACATATCGGGCACCATAAGGTTTACCCTTTGCAGGATCTTTTTTTGCCGATACGTATTCAGAAACAGCAGCATCCCACAGGTACGAGTAACCTACGACACAATTATCATTAGCCAAATATTTAACACTCGTGAGATTGTTTTAATCTACCTTCATTGATCGAGTAAATCTTTCCCTTATCAGGTACACGCATATTGGGCTCCGTCAGAACAAATTCACCAATAGCAGGATCATACATGAATCCGTTGACACCATTTCCAATGGACAGCACCATCATGGTTGCAGAACCGTACAAGGCGTAGCCGGCTGCCACCAGATTGCGACCGGGTTGCAAGGCATCGGATAATTGTGGAGCACCGGTGATACTTTTCTGTAGAATAGATAGGTTAGTACACCTAAGTCTGTTTTTACACCTTCTTTTTGTACACGGTTTTGATATAACACGGTTTGAAAATTGAATATTTTAATTTTTTTACACGATTTTATTCCATTTAGCACGATTTGAAATTTTATGTACTTAAATTTTTTTTGTCAAATTTAATTTTTGCGAAGTATGTTCATATCACAAAAAAGTACTTATGAAAGAAAAAAATATTTATAATAGGTTGTCAAATATCTCCCTTCCGCTTTTTTGCTATTGGTTTATATACAAAAAGGCGGAAGGGGATATTTGACAACCTAATATAATTTTAATGATAAACTGTTTAAACGGTGAAAATTAATAGGGGGGCGGGGCGCTAGAAAAAAAGTTGCATGCGGGCGCTAAGGACCCCAGGACCGGCCCTGTATATATATATAAAGTATTGATTGAATAATTGTTGGATGTTATTTATTTGAAATTACCTTTCCCTTAGGTGATGCAGATGTTGCAGGATATATAAATATACCTCCGTACTTTATGGTCCTGTGAACATCAGCAACCATGGATCCAACATATCGGGCACCATAAGGTTTACCCTTTGCAGGATCTTTTTTTGCCGATACGTATTCAGAAACAGCAGCATCCCACAGGTACGAGTAACCTACGACACAATTATCATTAGCCAAATATTTAACACTCGTGAGATTGTTTTAATCTACCTTCATTGATCGAGTAAATCTTTCCCTTATCAGGTACACGCATATTGGGCTCCGTCAGAACAAATTCACCAATAGCAGGATCATACATGAATCCGTTGACACCATTTCCAATGGACAGCACCATCATGGTTGCAGAACCGTACAAGGCGTAGCCGGCTGCCACCAGATTGCGACCGGGTTGCAAGGCATCGGATAATTGTGGAGCACCGGTTGATACTTTTCTGTAGAATAGATAGGTTAGTACACCTAAGTCTGTTTTACACCTTCTTTTTGTACACGGTTTTGATATAACACGGTTTGAAAATTGAATATTTTTAATTTTTTTACACGATTTATTCCATTTAGCACGATTTGAAATTTATGTACTTAAATTTTTTTTGTCAAATTTAATTTTTGCGAAGTATGTTCATATCACAAAAAAGTACTTATGAAAGAAAAAAGTCTGAACCATCGATAGTGTCGATAGTTTGCGAACACTAGCTTAAAGATTTCAGTGAATTCCCCTTTTGCGCGTACAAACAATTTTTACTGCTCAAAGCAAATGTGAATAGCACTAATTTAGGGGAATTATTATTAAAGTAAACATGAATTCTTGTTCTTGAAAATTCTTGTTTTTCACTAATTTATAGGTTTTAGAGATAGATTAGGAACAAATCACCCATTTTTGTATACGATCAATGTCTTTTTTTACACAGCTTCTTCTGGAACCAATCTACCGTATAAAAACAGACTTAGGTGTATATAGTTTGTGTATTTGTACTTTATGATTGTATAATATTTGATGTTACTTGTATATTCCAAAGATTGATCCAATTGATACCAGGCAATCGATGTTGGATGATCCGTCGAGGGGATCGAAGCATACAATGTATTTGCCCTGTTTGTCGGTTTCAACCTGAGAAGAAAACCAGTTCAATTTAACTGTATTTTTATTTTTAACTTCCCGTAGGGTAGTTATAGTAATGGGCCGAAAATCGAAAATGAAAATTTTTGTATTTCTCCACGTTTTGAAGGTTTCTGAACATTTTACTGGCATACCTCAGAAAAAATGGATGTGTGTGTGTGTTTTTTTATATAGCTAAGGAAATGCGTTTATTTATCCCAGGCTAGGTCTTTTGTCTGGGTATGGCGAACTCAATACTGCCCGGATATAATAACGACTAAAATATCCGCTTATTTTGTCTTAAGTCCCCACGCAAACCGTTACGCATTACTTCAAGGGGGGAGGATCTAGAATGCTATAATTTTTGCTCTGAAATTATACTTTTCAATTATTGCTTAATTAACTTTTCGTAGGGTAAGTTATTGTAATCGTCCAAAAATCGAAAATGAAAATTTTTGCATCTCTCGTCGTTTTGAAGGCTTCTGAACATTTTTAAAGGGCATACCTCAGAAACTAAATGGACGTGTGTGTGTCTGTATGGATATAATTTTTTGTTCACGTTTTCGAGCGCACGGATCAAACGATTTAAATGATTCATTTACCATTCGATTCCTATTAATAGGAAGATGTGCTGATTAGTTTTTGGCAAAGGCAAGTCCAGCCGTTACGGAGATGTGGAGCAAAGAGTGCAGAAAATACAAATCGAGTTTTTGAGAGAACGTAGTATCGGATTTGAATGATCTAATAAACATTCAGTTCGTATTGACGGGGAAAAGTGGTTATTAGTTTTTTGCAAAGGTAGGCCCAGCGGTTTCGGAGATACAGAGCTAAATGTGCCAATAATGGTAGTTTTTGAGTGAACTAAGCGTCCGATTTGAATGATCTAAAAAACTTTCTGCTTGTTTCAACAAAATAATTGCTTTCGGTAAAAAAATTTTTGTTTCTGTTTTTTTTTTTGCAAAAAATATTTTTGTAATTTTGGATTGAAAATTCAAAAAATTACCCAGGCTAAGCACAGTCTAAGCGCCACTCTGGTACAAATGTTTACTCAAGTGCGTTTAGACTGTGACCATACGGGAGCACCTTTCCAATTTTGTGAAAACTATTGAAAAATGTGAAAATGCCGCCAAGCTGAGCACAGTATAAGTGAAAATGTGGTACGGAATTATTTGAAAATGCGTTTAGACTGTGACTATACGGGAGCACTTTTTCAATTTTTGTGAAAACTATTGAAAAATGTGAAAATGCCGCCAAGCTGAGCACAATATAAGTGAAAATGTCGCACGGAATTATTTGAAAATGCGTTTAGACTGTGACTATACGGGAGCACCTTTCCAATTTTGTGAAAACTATTGAAAAATGTGAAAATGCCGCCAAGCTGAGCACAATATAAGTGAAAATGTCGCACGGAATTATTTGAAAATGCGTTTAGACTGTGACTATACGGGAGCACTTTTTCAATTTTGTGTAAACTATTTTTTTTTTTAAATTGAATTTGAAATGAAATGACGATTGTTAATGTAATAATTGATTTATGATTTACATTTGATTTGCTCATAGGTATAACAAACAAGATAGCAGAAATAACGAAAGTTACAGTATTTGTAATGATATATTTGAAAACGTTTAAAATTTCTCGAATATTTCATAACGGTACGGGAAGTTCCAGCAATTTGCCTTAAGGCACGATGCAATACACCACTAGTTATCATTAATTCAACAACTGGTACCTCTATAACATTATCATTTTCCTCTGAGACCAACATGCACGTGGTGAACGAAGACTTGAGCATATTAATAAACAGCTCGTTTGCAAGAACGTCTAGCTTCTTTACTTCTTCGCCTTGCACGTTGGTGTCTCCAGATATACCATGACTGTAAAACCATTCACGTCATGTTATAAAATCAAATTTAATAAATTATCTATTATCTACTTACAGTCTGGCGATTCCGGCTTTCCTCACGGCTGAACTGACAGCCTTCACAGCCGTCTGTATGGAGTTCAGCAATTGGGTGAGGTCCCCCGTAGCAGATGGAAAGTGCCTCTGTTCGGCCAACAGAAAACGCGTCAGCGTCATGCAGTTGGTGTCGAAGGCTGGACCGCTTTCAGTCATGGTGGAAAATCTACGAGATCATTGTAATAAAATGAATTACTAATATAAAATATCAATAATGGTAATGGAGAGATCGATATTTAATACTTTTAGAATTTAGCCTAGGCATTGTTAAAACTGTATACATTCTTATTTGATTCAATTAGATTTTACTATTGATAAACGAGAAACATGAGTGCACATTTGTAAGTGATCATAACTAGTAACTTTGTTCTTTTTGTATTACGATTTGGATTTAAAACGAAACTACGGCAATAAACGTTGTTTTTACAATAATAGAACCAACGATATTGATCTTATATTTGTATCATTACTATAGTTAGTACTATTACACTTACATAACCTCAAAACTAAACGTGTCTCTCGATCACTTCTTTAAACAGAAGCACATAAAATAATATTAAATATTGAATTAAATAACTATTTCTACTTACACAGAATGATGATCTTCTAGACGAGTCGACTGCAGAACAAAAAATGTGAAAAGAATTAATTTTTATCTACGTTGACATTTGAAACTCAAAACTGTCGACCTTCAAACAATCAAAGGTCACTTGACAGGTGGAGCATTGGAGGCGAATCGGAGGTCCGGGGTCGATAATTTAGGTAGAATATGTTTTTTACGCGATATTATATATATATATATATATATATATATATATTTATATTGTGATAAGGTTTTTCAGCCACAAGCCGAAAAAATAAAAACAACGTAAATATAAAATCTTCTTTAAGACGTTTCGAGCTATTATGCTAGCTCATCATTCAGCTAAAATACAAAAAGAATAATAAAATAAAGTAACAAAATAAAATAAAGTAACAAAATAAAATAAAACAGAATTAAAATTATACGTACCAAGCCAGTTTAAAATTATTAACTTCCCGTAGGGTAAATTATTGTAATGGGCCGAAAATCGAAATTAAAAATTTTTACATTTCTCTACGTTTTGAAGATTTCTGAACATTTTGGCATACCTCACAAAAAATGGATGTGTGTGTGTATGTATGGATACAATTTTTCGTTCACGTTTTCAGTCACACGGATCAACCGATTTGAATGGTTCAAAAAACATTCGATTTCTTTCGATAGGGAGATGTGCTGATTAGTTTTTGGCAAAGACAGGTCTAGCAGTTACGGAGATAAAGAGCAAAGAGTGCAGAAAATAGAAATCTAGTTTTTGAGAGAACGGAGCATCCGATTTGAATGATCTAAAAACATTCATTTTGTAATGATTGGGACAAGAGGTGATTAGTTTTTGGCAAAGGCATGCCCAGCCATTTTGAAGATACAGAGCTAAATGTGCAAAAAATGGCAGTTTTTAAGAGAATTAAGTGTCCGATTTAAATGATTCAAAGAACTTTCTGCTTGTCTTAACAAATTAATTGATTTTGGAAAAAAAAGTTTTTGTTTCAACTTTATTTTCAAATTTTTTGTATATCGAAAATAATTCAGATTTTATTTTTAATTCTGACTATACTTTTAATATACTTTAAACAAACAATTTCAACTTTGAAATTCAGTTTATATAATTCTTATAAATATTAGACAATGTTACAATATTAATAATAATCTATTTGAAAATTGGTATATATATAGAATTTTGAAAAATAAAATCGAGTAATCAAAATATTTCGAATTCTGATAAAGAAAAAGAAATTATCAAGTGGTAAAAAAATGTTCAAATATTAAAAAAATCAGACTTACATACATTTATTAAATTTTGATAGCTTTCGAAAAGCAAACAAGAACTTCTCTTATTTACACATTGTGAATTTAAAAAAATGAAAACAGATTCAGCAAACCTTTTCTTATGTCAACATTTTGTTCAATATATAAAATAATAGGACTGTCTAAAACAAAAGTGTGTTTAAAATTTTGCATATGGTCAGATAACATTGTTTTGTATTGATTTTTATTTTTTGAATTATAATTATGTTGAAGCATTCTCTTAGATATATATTATGAACTCTACCCAATATAGAATTTTTCACAATCATTACAATTCACCTTGTAAACGGAGTCAACGATTCTATTATGTGGTGTTTTTGATTTTAAAGAAGTATACGAAGAATTTAAAGTATTTTCAAATTTGGAAACTAAAAGAAAACCTTCTTCCGAAAATATCTTTTTTAAAAAATAAGCAAAACTGCCTGAAAATGGTAAAGAAATAATACTTTTATATATTTTTTTAGAAAAGATGAAGAATTTATTAAACTAGTATCAACAAGTAACGAAAGGTTATTATTATTAATGTTAATTTTATTATTAAATATTGCATACGGTTTTTTATAATATTATTAACTAATTTTAACGGATATGAGTTGTCTACAAGAATTTTGCGGATTAAATCTAAATTTTTATTTTTATCAATTTTTTTCGACTTGTGGCTGAAAAATCTTATCACAATATGTTTCAAAGTCGAAATAAACAATATATATATATATATATATATATATATAATAAATATATAATAAATAATTATAATTATATAATATAGGAAAAGCAATTATTTTGTTAAAACAAGCAGAAAGCTCTTTGAATCATTCAAATCGGACGCTTAGTTCTCTCAAAAACTGCCATTTTTTGCACATTTAGCCCCGTATCTTCGAAATAGCTGGGCCTGCCTTTGCCAAAAACTAATAAACACTTCTCCCAATCATTACTAATTGAATGTTTTTTTTAGATCATTCAAATCAGATGCTCCGTTCTCTAAAAAATTCGATCTCTATTTTCTGCACTCTTTGCTCTTTATCTCCGTAACTGTTGGACCTGCCTTTGCCAAAAACTAACCAGCACATCTCCCTGTCAATAGGAATCGAATGTTTTTTGAACCATTCAAATCGGTTGATCCGTACGCCCGAAAACGTGACTGGAAAATTGTATCCATACATGCATACACACACACATTCATTTTTTCTGAGGTATTCCAAAATGTTTAGAAACCTTCAAAACGTCGAGAAATGCAAAAATTTTCATTATTGTTTTTTTTGCGATTACTATAACTTGCCCTAAGGGAAGACAAAACAACACAGGTAAATATTTAATCATTATTATTAATATAGATATTTATTATTTCATTTTAAAGAAACTTGACAATATAAAAAACATAACTTTGTGTACATATATAACATTTTAAGCATATTACTTATATTAAATTCATAAAGCTCTATAAAAATGCATGAACAATAAATTTCATTTCAACAAATATAGCATTTAAATTCCTTTAAGCAGTACAATTAGTTGCTACATGTTTTGCATTAAAAATCTCTATCCAATAACCATCCGGATCGCAAATAAAAGCAAGTCCCTTCATTTTACCATCTTGTGGCTTCTTAATAAATTTCACACCGAGCTTTTCAAACCGCTCACAAGCAGCTTCCACATCAGGCACCATTAAACCGATATGTCCGAAACCTCTGGGGTCACTGTTTCCAGTGTGGTAGGTGCAGTCGGGATCTAGTTCGGAGCCCCAATTGCTAAAAGATGATAGAAAATATTTATTGATATCTGATTTCATAACATTTTTATTATTTGGTTTTTCTAGTATTATTTTATTATTCAGATATTTTGTTTATTTTATTCAGAAATTTTATTTTTATTATTTGCTTTTATTTTATATTAAATCATCATACTAGGGATATTATTTTCATGTAAATTCTATTCTTTGCACTCTTATTTATTTAAATTTATGTTATTATTTATCAATATTGCAAGATGTTAACAAATTAACAGTTGTAATAAATATTGTAATTAAAATATATTATATCTATATATATATATATATATAATATATTACTTACTGTGTTAGTTCTAACGTAGCTTTTCTACTCATAGCCCATGCTGTACGCTCTTTGTTGTCTTGAGGTACATCCGAAGCCTTTTCAAATCTGTAAAAAAAACAATTTAAACATTAAAACATATTCAATATAAAATCTAATACATTATCTCATACCCCATAAAGTACAGCGAGAATTCATTTCAGGAGAAAGTCTAACTTCTGTAAGAGAGTCATTCCAAGTACACCAGTGTAAAAGGGTAAAGACTTCCTAGGGTCTTTTATCCTGTACATCGTCTGTTGGAATATGAAGTCCTGGACAAAGGTTATGTAAATTATTAGCACTAGTTTTATTAAGTAGTTGATATTTGATAAATACTTACTGATGTTGAGGAATCCGGCTTAGAGCATAAGTCATTAGCCTCTTTATTTGTTAAACCTGTGCATTCACCCATGGTTTGGAATGGTAAGTTAACAACGTTGTGTAAGGCACTTTAAACTAGAAATAACAACGTGTGTAAGGCACTTTAAACTAGAAATAAAATATATAATTAAATTGTATACCCGGTTAATGATATTACACGTGCGAGGTGTCTAAAAGTTGTATAATTTATGATAAATTTGTCTTTTTATCTATTTCGGACACATACCTTCAATTGACAGTTGAACTTGACAGTTTTGACAGTTCTGCAGGAACTTCACGCTTGTTGCACTCTTCATACACAAGCGCGCGGTTTTTAAATTTTAAACTTGCTTAACAAGTTATTTTGCAAATACTTATAATAATAATATAAATATAATAATAATATATAATATTAAGTATATGATAAATAAATATAATGATAATAATATATAATAATAAATATAAATATGAATATGAATATAAATATAAATATAAATATAAATAATATAATATAATAATAGAATTTTTTCAATAAAATGTTAGGATGTCTTGTGGATGTACCTGGAGGAGAATTGTGGATTACCAACAAACCCTGTACAAAGACCTGCAAATAAAAACAATTAATGAAGTCATAGAAGTCTTATAATTTCAAGTGAAAACTCACATCACTACTGCTTGATATCAAACTGGACGAACCGGTATGAACTTGTAAAAGTAAGTAAAAACTTTTTTTAATTTCCCGAAGAAGTTTATGTTTTCATTAAAAAATCCGATTCGCTAATTTTATGTTTTCTCGACGTTTCAAGCCATTCTGAATCGAATGAGACCAAATTTTGAAAAAGTATGTGTGTGTGTGTGTGTGAACAGATTTTTTGCCGTAAATCAACGTTTTCTCAAAAACGGCAGGATCGATTTCAAAAATTTAAAAGCCATTCGATGTATCTCGATGAGGACTAGCGTTTATCAATTTAGTGCGACGATCGGCCAAGCCGTTTCTTTGTAAATAACTGAAAAGTGAAAGTTTTTAGCTTGTTAACTTCCCAAAAATAAATTTTTTTGCATATCTTCACGTTTCAAAGGTTTCTGAGCGTTTTGGCATACTTTTGGATGTGTGTATGTGTGGATACAATTTTTCGTCCATGTTTTTCGGCGCACGGATCAACCGATATAACGAGATAGCGAAAATAATGGTAATAATATATTTGGAAACGTTTAAAATTTCTCGAATATTTCATTACGGTACGGGAAGTTCCAGCAATTTGACTTAAGGCACGATACCATACACCACTAGTATAATTTTCCTTTAGTTTCTTAATTTTTATTACTTATTATTTATATTATTTACTTTATTTAATTGTTATTTTTATTACCTAAGCAAGCAGTTTTGTATTATAAGACTTAAAAGGTAAGAAAAAAAAATTATCAAAAAAATCTAATTTAAAAAAAATGGACTCTTGTAAACTTACACATAAGTTGTTTATAAAATACGCTCGACGCCCAATTTGAAAAGAATTTATAATAAACAATCTATTTGAAATTATTCAAAAACTTAAATAAAAGACAGTAAATAGGAAAAGGAATTCTACTGACGAGCAAACTCAAATTACAAAAAAGTAAATAAAAAAGGGACTCTACTGACGAGCAAACTGATACAGATGACAATAAATAGAAATGACCACTCTAGAAAACTGCTGGAACTGCCTTTGCAAAAATGTAATAAATTTTTTACTTTGTCAAAAACAAAATATCGTTTGAATCATTCAAATCGGTTGATCCGTGCTCTCAAAATTGTCGAGAAAATGTTGTATTCGCACATCCATTTTTTTCTAAGGTATGCCAAAATGTTCAGAAACGTCTGAAACTGAAACGTACACATAAGTTGTTTGTGTAATACGCTCATTGACCAATTCAAAAAGCACTTATAAATTTACAGTATAATAAATAATATATTTGAAATTACTTAAAACAATCATTGATTATTTTCATTTCTCGAATGTTTAATTACGGTACGGAAAATTCCAGCAATTTGCCTTAAGGGGCACAACTAGTGTAACCGCCTAAAAAAAAGTGGTTTTTGGGAATTTATATTAAAAAAAATACTTTATCAATCATTTCAAAATTTTAGGAATATATTTATACATGTTTTAAGAATACATAGTAAAATTTTTGAAGAAAAAAATTAAATATATTTTAAGTTATCGTATTTAACTGCTGCAGTGATTCCGGCCTTCTACGTGGATGAAATTAAAAAAAAAAAAAATCTCGTTAAACTAGATAATATTGTGTGTAAAATAAACTACGATAAAGAAAAAAAATCAAAAATTGACAAAATGACGGCGTTTTTGAATTGAAGTCGAATTTTACCCAAAATTTTGGTCGTTTTTGGACTGCCAAAATTCGATTTTTGATCCGATCAAAAAATCGATAGTTTATTTTACGGAGAACTATATATAGAACATGTAAAAAAAATTCGATAGTGATCGTATCATTTGTTTTTGAGTAATCGCTGCAGCAAATTCGGAAAATGCTGTTTCGAGAAAAACGCGTTTAAAGATAAAATGATCGTTATACTATATACTAGATATATATTCTTTGAATGGCTGTGACTCAAAAACTATTTAAGATATCGATTTAAAATTTTGGTATGTTATTTCCAAAGGTATAACCTATTAAAATATGGAAAAATTGAAAATTCGATTTTTTGAAAATTTCACACTAGTTGTGCCCCCTTAAGGCACGATGCCATACACCACTAGTTTATCATTTATTATTACATAATCCTCCAATGTTATCTCTATCGGGTGATTTTGCAGTGGTGGGAGTTAGACGATTCTTATTAGATTCCATTTGTATTTATTTCAGTCGAACACGAAACACGTTTGAGTGCGCGCACATTTTTGTTTAGATCTTTTCTTCTAAACAAAACACACGAAAAACATTTTGTGAAAGTAGAATAAAAATTGTGAAATCGTAAATAATAATATAAGTAATTAATAATTATAATAATTATAATAAATACATAAGTAAATAAAGATTTTTTGTGGTGGATTCAGATACCTTTTGTGTTCCTTTGAGAGTGTTATTTAATGTGAAATATTGGTTTAAATTTCATTCTACACATTTTTATTTCTATACAAGTGCCAGTGAAAAACTAATATTTATGTGGATTTTTTATTTTGGATATTACACATGTTTAAAGGTAAGCATCAGAATTTATAAACAAATAAAAAAAGTGGGTTTCTTTTTTTTATTTTCTTATAAATTACAATCTGTCTAAATAGAAAGACATTGAGTAATTAGTTTGACAAATAACATATCAAATTTTAAAAGGAAAACCCAGTGGTTCACCTTTTATTAGTGTACTAAATTATATTTCAATTTTGGTATAATAAGGAAAAAAAAGAAACTCAAATATATTAGGTTGTCAAATATCTCCCTTCCGCTTTTTTGCTCTTGGTTTATAATACAAAAAGGCGGAAGGGAGATATTTGACAACCTTATACATACAATTATAAACAAAGTACATTACACAGACTACATATACACACCTATTTTAAATAATATGGTAGAACAACTTATTATTGATTAATGTGTTAGATCTCTTAATTGTATTCTTTTTAATCTTATATTATGTGTGGTGTTAAAAGTGGGTTTTCGTGACTCAAAACATATTTTAAGAGAGTATTTTGAAACGTATTCTACATCATCATGCAATCATATCATCATATATACTAGATGACCCGGCAGATGTTGTCCTGTACCCATGTCTACAATTCAAAAGTGCCAAATTTTTTAATATCCTATCCTATACTTTTTAATATCCTATTTGATGTCCTGCCTTTGTGATTCATTTGTGGCCTTAGCATAAGCAGTATAAGAAATTCAGAAAATAATAATATAGTATGTATCTGCGGTGAAATAACAATATCACACTTGATTTTATCACACAACATATTTGCTTCAATAATTTAGTCTATAATTTTTATAATTTCGTACGATATATTAGTTGCTTTTTGGCAATTATAATTTCTAAAGTACATTTTTCTTACTAACAATTTAATAAACATTATCGTTTATGCTCAAATTTTAGGTGAATTAATTTGTAAAATCTAGTTCATATGATCACTCTCCATTCTAAGATCAACTTGCTAAATATTCCATATCCGATGCCAAACAAATGAATTTTCGACACATAAAACAAAATTTTAAATCATTTTTTTTTAATAAGTAGAAATATTTTCTAAATTGTTAATTAATTTAGTAAAGTAAACCAAAATGCGACATGCATAAATTTAAAAAAATAATGTTTATGCAATTTTAGACTTGTTGCCGTATTTATTAAACTGAATTATATAATTTCATCTGCCAAACCATGCACAGTTGACTGTATCTTATATTATTTTAATTTCTGGCACATCTCAGCTGCTTTTCGGCAATAATAATGTAGACATTACATTTTTCTTGTATATTATGTCCTAATATTTTCTAGGCTCATAATTTCAGCTAAATTCAAATTTCAAGTGAATTGATATTTTTAGCAAATGACAGTTCAATGTCAAACAATGATAAGTGTTTTTTCGTAATTTTTGCCATTTATTTCTACAATATTACTTATAGTTTTATTATTCATTAAATCGTAAGAATTTCCTTTGACAAACTCTAAAAAGATTTATCAAAATCCGAATAACCGTTTAGGAGAAGTATCAAAACATACACCGTACAGAAGAATTATATATATATATATATATATATATATATGTGTATATTATATGTGTGTGTATGTATATGTGTATTGATATTAAAAATTATATGACACACATATTTTTTATAATCGTTTTTCCTAAAACAAATCACATCTGTTTCTGTAAACAACTTTTTATATCGGACATTTTATTTCATTTGGAAAAGATAAAATTTTTTTGTTGATGTGAAAAAATTGATATCAAATTTATCTTGATTAAAAATTTATTTGAACATATATATATTGTATAAACAGATATTGTCGACGTTTCGGAACTAGGTACGTTCCATCTTCAGGACATCTGCCAAGAAACATGATCTTGATAAGATTTAAGCAAACAATATGTTTAAGAAAATAAAATGGAT